CTTATGAATGTGACCCACATATCAGCAATATAAACGCAGGTCTACTCTTTTTATAAACCACAAAAAACATTATATGTGCAATGATATCGAACGTGGGAATTTTACACTTTATAGTTACGTATGCTAAAAACGAGTATTTGCTCATGTTTAATCATTTTTTACATTTACATGGAAAATAATCATATATAAATTTTCGCAGATTTCTATCTTTACGAATTCCTTGCAGTAAAGATATCTGGGAGAGAAATATTCGAATATTTTGCAAGAGAAGAGTGTGTGTGTGTGCGGGGTGTGGTTGAGGTGGGATGGGGGGTTCTAGCAAATACCGATAAATATATAATAATGAACAGGGCTGATTTATTTTCTGCTTTAGCCTTAAATTAGTGACTTCTCAACAGATTTATCTTTCCTAAGAATATTTTTTTTGAAATGTATTCCATATTAATCCAAAGAAACTCACATTTAGGGCGACAGTGTTTTAACGAGTTCTGTTTACTAAATAAACCATTTTGATAAGTTGCGACACCCCTTTTCAATTAATCTATAATGTTTTATGTTTCTGTCTCGAAAACGACATTCAAATTATTGTTATAAATGAATAAAGTAAAACTCATTTAGTACGAACACGGATATACCGAATGTACAGCTACAGCAAAGTTTTTTGCAATCCCTTGCAAAATTCCTAACAATTCCATGTAAAATTTTACGGCTATATCGAATTCAGATATAGCAATTTTACGGTTATACCGAACTAATTTTGTGTCCCCTAGAAGTTAGAAATAACGAAATGTACATTTTTTATAGCGAATTTTCAAAGATCTCAATTTTTAAAATATTGAACTGATATATTTATTTTGTAAGTAATCATATTTAAAACTCAATTCATCCGAAAACTTTTGAACTCAAAAGTAAATGTTGTATTTTATACTTCTGTAAATACATATACATTTGTTAGTCATACTTGAAGAAAAAAAAAAACATTGCGAAATATCTAAGTATACTTTAAGGAATTTGTTATACGGATATAACGAATTATGGATATAGCGAAGTAATTTCGCAGTTCTCCAGAACTTCGCTATAACTGAGTTTTACTGTAAATGGATTAGAAACAAGTCCTTCCTACTTTTTACTTCCTCCGTTTTTCCAAATCATTTAGATCTTTTATATGTTAAAATGCCCGCAAGTTCAGGATCTAAGAATTTCGGATTAAAGTCTATTTCCATTTCAACAATTTTTTTTTGCAATTACTTCTATCCAGTTATTGAATTACATTGTGGCTCTTCAGTTTAGAAACATTCGTTTTAAGATCATTTCAAGTATCTTATTATTTTTTTCTGACTGCCCCCTTCCCCACTTTGCAAAACAAACTTCGTGCATGGACGCGCATTCCAAAGATATAAGCTTAATATTTGCAGGCATATTGGAAAAAGTCCGGAAAACTAAGTTGGACGGGCTATCGTCATTTGAAGCAAGTCATATTTTTTTTAATGATGTTTAATACTCAATACTTACATGTAACTAGGAGCGATGCATCGCTCAAAAATATGTTCAAGGGATAGAAATACAATGTTCCTTCTTAAAGATTATAATAGAATAGGGACCAGGTAGAGTGTAACGCAGTTGCCATCAAGACTGCGATGTGAAATCAATTTCCAACTGCTCTTAATTGTCTTAAATGAATTATGAAGTTTATTTGTAAGACAAATGTCCATTCCAATTGATACTAGTTTTAATTCGAAATCACATATGTAAACTCGCTCAAGGTAATTTTTCCGCCCTACGACGTTACGTTTCAAAAAATGACGCTCTACTAGCATTTTCTTTTAAAACACCGTCATACTTCAAACTCTCTTTTTCCAAAAAATATAATCGATATTCAAAAAAGAAAAACGGCAAAGAAAAGCTAAAAGTCTACACTATCAACTGACAAAACCCCGTTACTTTTTGAGACAGGGCCATTTTTGATGGTTCGTGGCTCTTGCTCTTTCAAATAATGTTGTCTCAAGTATGAACAAAACTCCATCAAATCCAATTGGTTTAAAGATGAGGTTTACTCAGGGTTTTAGTTGACAGAAATGGAATGCTATGAAATAAGAATGTTAATTGATTGATTGATTGTTGTTTAACGTTCCTCTGTAAATTTTTTCACTCATATGGAGACGCCATCACTTCCGGTGGAGGGCTACAGATTTTGACTTATACTTACTGAGACACGGGGCCTCGGTTTATACGGTCTCATCCGAAGAACCGGTCTCCACGTCCCGCATTGGGATACGAACCCGCGAGGTAAGGATCAACTCCGCAACTCTAGAGCAGACGCTTTAGTCACTGCGCCACGCGGGCGACAAGAATAAAAAAAAATTCTAGATGGATAAAATATCTATGTTATAATTCATTATCTATTTTGAAAATATATATAAAGTATATTTTATCATTTGAAGAAAATATGCATAAACAAAAGTTAATTTATGGGGGTGATATTCTAACATTTTTTTTCTTGCAGTAGTTACAATAAATTGAGATTCAATGTGTTTTCAACACAAGTTATGATTGTTAAAGTTTATGTATTATTTTGAAAGATTGAATGATATGCTGTAAAGAATTTAAAAGTATGGGGGGGGGGGAACCCATTGAAAACAAAATATCTCGATAATTTGATCATTGACCTAATATAAATTTAATTCAAGCATAATGAGGACAATAAAGGTTAACTAAAGCTATAAACAGTTAAGATTTTTTGTTCATTCAGATTTTTGTAATACTTGATTAAACAAAAAGTAAAAATTGGAAATTTGAAAGATGAAATTCGGACAAAAAAAATTTAGAAGGTTATAATTCAAACACAAACTGTTTGTTTATATTTAGTAAAACTATTCCATTTTTATCAGATTTCCGTCATCTGTTACATTTTTTTATTAAATACAATATTGGTCATAGTGTTATAAAAGGATTGAAGCTATTTTGTTTCTGTGATTGTTAACGCCCCTTCCGATATGTTTTTTTTTCCACTCATATGGAGAAGCCACCAATAGCTGGTGGAGTGCTTCAAATTTAAAAGTTAGACTTATACTGGACACTCATGGTTATTGAGCAGAAACAGATTTGTTTCTTGCCGGCACCTACTGCGACACGCGACGTCGGTTTATATGGTCTCATCCGAAGGACAGGTCTCAGTGGGATTCGAATCTGCGATTGTCGACGTAAGGATCAACTCCTTACTACGCGACTCTAGAGCAGACGCTCTAACCACTGCGCCAGGCGGGCTATTTGAAAGTGAATAATAACACTACAACCATAGGTCTACAATGTACATAGAGGTGGCTTTTCATTCTTATCAATGGAGTTTTTTTTCGTCAGCTGAGTAAACATCACCCATAAAAGCACTTAAAAAGAAATTACATCCCGACAAACAGCCATCGACACATTCACCCATCAAGTGTTAACATGGACTTCTATCTTTACATGTACAATGTCCTGAGCATTGGAACTTGTATTCTTGACCGTATGATTCTTTTTGGCAGGCTATTTTGACAGCAGTAATTTAAAAAAAAAATTATGTGTTTACAATAATCCGAAATGTGCTTGTGTATTTTAATAAAAAAAATCTACAATAAGCATAAAAGAAAATACACTTACTTTGAATACACATTTCTCCAAGAAACGGTTCTTTGCATCCTGCAGTACAGCTACCGTTAAATCTATCACAAATGTCATCTGCACAGTTTTGACTGCATTCATGAGCACAGTTTTTGCCAAATTTGTTAAAAGGACAACCTAAAACGATGACTTTTTAGGAAGTCTTAGTATTTCACATTAACTTTGTTTAATAAATGTATTTACAATTACAGTGAACGGTATTTAAAAAGACGTTTATATATGTATGTAAATATAGATAAATATTCACTTTTGTTGCAATGTGGAGAATCCATCCAACCAGAACTACACTCACAAGAACCGTCAATATGTGCACATGTGCTAGTGCATTTTGGGGAACAGACATAGGAGCAATTTTTACCATAGCGGTTGACTGTACAAGCTAAATAATGGTATAAAATTAAGAAAAATATAGTCTTTTTTATGATTCAATATTTGATTGTATGAAAAGAAAAAAGAAAAGTAAACATATCTCCAAAATAAAGCGATTATGAGAAGTTATATATATTACGTGTGGTGCATTTATGTCCAATATAACCGTCTTTACATCCAAGAGAACAAATCCCGTTCACGTGATTACAACTTTTATCCTCAGCACACTGTCCACTACAGCGGTATTTGCATCCTTTTCCAAACCACCCAGGTGTACATTCTGTAAAAATGAGTAATTTTTCGCTACTTTATCAAAAAGAAGGTATTTTACATTGTCAGTTGGTAATCTTCTTTAACCCATCCACTGTAGTTGTTAAGTTATAACAAAATATGATTTTTTGTAAGTACCTCACAAAAAAGTATTTACATATTGTAAATTATTATTAAAACTTACCTATGTTACACAAATCCCCAGTAAATCCACTGCTACATCCCAAGTCACAGTGTCCAGTTTCCTTGTTACATGGTTCGTCATTTAAACAATGTCCACTGCAGTAGGAATTACAATTAACGCCGAAACGTCCAGCATCACAAGCTGTAATTTGATACCTTGATGTTCTTATGGTAAATGGATGTTTGTTTAAAAGGGATAAAAAATTCTTCTCTTACATTACATATCTTATATAAGTCTTACTCTGATTATCAGGGGAAATACATTAAACATATAGTTCATACCTTGTAGATTTCTGATGCCTAACAAAACACGTAAATTGAACATAATACTTAGATTAAATTGACTAAATAAAATAAAACACTTACATAAACACTTACATAGTTTCATCTATGCAAATTTTAGATTTGCTCAGAATAATTTTTTAAATATTTTTAATGAATATTTTACTTAGTTAAATTGCATTTAAACTTCACTCTTATTCAATTGGATACAGGTAACCGTCCTTTAGAAAGACATTTCCTTATTTATAAACTGAAGTCTTACGTTTATTGCACAATGTCCCAGTCCATCCCACAACACAGCCTCTGACACATCCACCCGTCACGTGGTTACATGGAGTTCGATCTTTGCAATGTCCTAAGCATTGGGACTTACATTCCTGACCGTATGATCCATTAGGGCAAGCTATTTTTACAACAGTAATATTAAAAACCATGCATTTAGGGCTTTACAAATATCCGAAATATGCTTAATATGTATAAAATGAAGGTTCACCTTACATGTTTGACATTTTTCTCCCTCCCAGCCCGCCTTGCATTTTATACATGTTCCATGGACAATATCACATTCTCTTCCAAAACAATTAGTGGGGCAATTCATATCACAATTTATCCCATACTTTCCTCTAGAGCATCCTGTTAAAAATATTTCATAACTTAGAAACAGGAATAAAAACAAGAATTATAAAAAGTGACTTCTGTAAACTTACCTTCCACTAACACTTCACACAAATGAGTGTAGGAAGTAGATTCATATCCCTCTGGATACGTTACTCCACTCAGTCTTTCATTGTAGTAGATGACAAATCGACCATATCCGATACAGTTTGTCGTGAAATTTAATAGAGGTAACTCTGGTCCGTCTTTGTAGCACATATATCCGTCTTCTTTTGTAGTTGAATTTGAGAGATAGAGAGAAAATCCAGCAAATCTTCCCCTTTGCCTCAGGACTAAAAACGAGAGAAGATGGTATGTGGAAATTAATTTTATTCATAGAGGACAATTATCCACTTAATTTTCATGTGATGAATCTATCCATTTTCTACATGTAAAACTAATTAATGCACAGTATTAACAATACAAGCTATTTTGTTTCATAGGATGAAACTCAACCATTCAGTGAATTTAGCGGTGACTAAAAGGTGAGTGAATGACAGATCTTTGTCATTCAGTCATCTTTACATATCTTTCAGTAATCATTCAGTTGACAGAAAGGTGCAGTTTAATCTTTTTTTCTAAGCAGGGATGAGTTCGGGGGGGGGGGGGGCTTGTCTGTTTAGCAGAGATCAAAACTAACAAGATCTGTTGATAAAGACAAAAGCCTTGGCATTTGCTATTTTAAATAACAGTAGCAGTGGATAAACATACTGTATAGATTGTTAGGCAGTTTTCCTTATTCAGGTACCTAACAGAAACATGCCACATTTGGTTTAAATGCATGTGCCCACCTTGTATTAGCGTTGCAAGAATTTTCGGAACCCTCATCTTGAAAGAAATCCTCGAGTTGTGTATGCTACGACACTTAACAGTGAAATATATAACTACCAATCAGGCACATAGTATGGGGGTAGCCTGATTTTTTTCCCCCTGGTTGCCCCCCCCCCCCTTTTTTTTTTTTTAAAAACGATACTACGTCGCTGCCAACGTCATACAGCTTATATCAGGAATTATGAAATGACAAACTTATGATACACAAAAGTTAGTTAAATTCTTGGGTACATATACTTATTTCAAAATATTTTTTATTGTTCTGGAAAATGGCCAAGTAGTATCGCTTGACTTAAATCATTTCAAAAATTATTGAACGACATCAACATTATCTAAATCAGTGAAATTAGTAATTTAAATCAGTAAAAAATGCATTTTATCTACCATTTGTAATGGTCCCATATTTTTCTTCAGAAAAATTAACTTAAAAATCCATATGAAAAATATGCATGTCCTGATAAATATAAAAGTTTGCAAAAAAAGTATTCAAGCTATGTGGTTCAAATGTTATTAGGAAGATCATAGTTTAGAACATGCAGTTATACAGTAATACAAAAAATCATTTATATGACCTCGATCTGCATAATTTGGCACAACATTTTAATTGATCACGGGCATTACAGCTATACGATATTATCATAAAGTTACTTAAAAATAAATTACAGTTGAACTTCGTTATCTCGAACACCATGGATATGTTGAAGTGATTTGGAAGTCCCAAGCACTTTATCTTTAAGTATTTTACCCTCATTATCTCGAATCCTCGGATACCCCGAAGTTTTTTCTCGGTCCCATCGAAGAAATTTTAATCAAAGTTTTCAAAGTTATTGATAGATGAATTTTTTCTATCCACTTTTACCCGTGTCACGGAAGCATTTTCACCCTAAAGGACTTCCCTGTTTAATAGTTCTGAGTGCCCAGTGAAGAGTAAACAAAGAAGATTATGAATAAGGATCAATCACATAAACCAAATAATAATGAATAGTGAACGGGTCAAAAACTTACACCGTAGAAACAAAGGTATGATCAGGTGTCTTGAGGAGAAAGTATCACCCAGGGTTTTCCATAGACTGTTTAACTCCGCCACAGTTAAATTCAATTCTATAACGCAACAGTTACAAAATCAGAGCCATAGGTTTGCAACATTCAAATATTAGCGCCACAGTAAGAGTGCCGTCGATCAGAAAGGTAAAAAAAATCTCAAAATCAACCTCCAAACTTTGTACATTTATTTCCAGTTTTTTTTATAATAATCTGTTAAGCCTTTAACCCCCAGAGACGCATTTGGACGCATTTCCAGTATCACAGATATTTAACTGTTGGCGTTTTCTAAATATTCGAGTTACAACAAAACAATTGATCTTTTCTGAAACTAGAGAAGAAACTAAGCATTTTTTCAACTCAAGATTTTTTGTGCGATGTTGAAAAATTATCATAAACATGAATTGAAATTGCATATCATTGCATGAAGTTGATAAAACTACGCATAAATGACTGATTTTGTGCTATCTTCTGTTGGCTTTATCTAAATTACAAACACAATAAAATAAAAAAAAAATGAATGCCATAACCTGAAAGCTGGGAATATGCCCAACATTTTTTATTCCGGACATTACAAGGTACCTGCATCCGTTACAGAGATATTTTAACTTTTACGAGTAAAACACACAAAATGCACTATGACGTCATTTGACGTTTTACATGCACAATGAAATCGTTCATGAGCTCAGTGTAAAACAACTAGCTCTTTTGATATATGGAAAAGATTATTTTTTAAAATGAATTATTTATAAAGAAGAGTTAATGTACGACACGTTTTGAGCCATAAACATGTAATAAAAGGAATTTTCCGTAGCTTTTGGGAGATATATTATATACATGGAGTAATAGTCTTTCACCCAACGCCCAGATTGCGTGCACCCATTGTATCAGAAATCCCTGTCGAATTTTGTGTCAGTCCTACATGTAGTAGTAATAATTAATTTAAAAATTGAATATTATCCTTACCATTTTCCTAATCTCCAGATTTATTATTGAAAAATAAAAAAATATAAATCTTTTTTTAGTACCTGGTGTACTTTGAAAGGAACAGTGCATTTGTATTAAAGAGACAGGTTAGATAACGCAGTTATCCCTTTTTAATGATTAAAAGATGAAAAAAAAAACTGTCACAATGAAAAAATATATCATAAGTAGTACATCGTACGTCGTAAACGTAGCCAAACAAACAACTGATTTTAATCAGATTGCTATATTTATAGAAATAATTTCTGAATAAACACACAGGAAACTCAGGTTTCTTTGTTCGTGTTCAATTCATATTTCAGTCTTCACAGAGTTAAGAACGTGTCTATATTAAACTGGATAAAAATGGAAAAATTGCGATAAACTAACAAATTCTCCCTCATTGCCTAATCCTTTACAGATTAGCCGGGATTATAAGTGCGTGTAATGAAGAAACTGAAAAGTTGAATCTACTGCTACAACAGAAATAAAACGGAGCAAGTATGTAAAATATTTGCCAGAACATTGCGCGAAAATAACAAAATGCTCTTTTGAATATAAAAACCGCCATTTTACAATATTCTAAAAGCTGTTGAGAAATGTTAATGAAAGTACAATCAGAAGTATTCGGAAACTATGCCTACGCTCTATAATTTTGGAAAAACTTGTGTTTTTCACCATAAAAATCAACGGAAAATATTTTTAAAACATCCTCCTTTCCTTTTTACAGCAATTTTGCATTATTATTTAACAAATTCATACGAAAGCTCTTGTTGTTCCTGAGGGTGGGGGTGGGGGTATGTTTACAGATAAATTACATGAGTTAAACATATGGAAAAAAATGAAGGATAATTTATCCATGTCTATGAATATTTTAAAATCTGAGTACTATTTTAAATGATGTTTTTGATGTTTTAGAGCCTGATTTCAATGGATATACATCTTCTAGACCCCTTATAAAAAGAGTTGTGATTAAGAGCAATGAATAATTTGACACTGGTATAAATAATGTCATATTGTAATTCTTGAATTTATCGGGTGGTAGTTAATACAAGAAGAGGCTGGGCCGAATCGCTCACCTGAGCTCACTGGCTAGGAAGAAGCAGTAATCAGTTCAGTATTAAAGGAAAGGGGGGGGGGGGCAAACTTTAATTTAAACTACCACAGGATGCTTGCATATCAATATCACTAATCATGGCTTTGCTGTTCTTAAACAGAAGAATTTTAAAGATTTTTTTCCGTATGTTTTTCACCGTCATGATAGCTCATTCTGAAGAGCTCTCGCTCCGTGATCGGAAGGAAAGGGGTCCGAGCCCTGGCCGCGACTGACCTAATTCGATAAAAAAATAGGTAGTAACTGTTCCATCGCCATGTGCTCAGCACTTTGAAGTGAAAGTTGCGGGTCTTCAGATACGACCTTAATGACCGAGGTCCATGTCACGTCAGGCGTAAGCACGATAAAGATCCCCCATTGCTCAATGGCCCTGGGTGCCGAGTAAAGGTAAATTTGAAGCCCCTCACCGGTATATGGTGAAGTCTCTATATGATTTTAAAATTCTTGTACGGAACGTAAAACAGCACACAATCAATCATATCCTATGTTTTCCCATGTAAAACTCTGATCTCTCATTGTGGTCCCACACTACCCACCCTTAATTTGAACAAATTTGAATCTACACCACCAAAGGATGCTTCTATAATAATATGACTAATCATGCCTTTGCTGTTCTTGAGCAGATTTTTTTCAAGATTGATTCCTATATTTTTTTCTTATGGAAAACTTAATTGACCCTCTGTTTTGTCCCCATGATTTGAACAAACTTGGTTCTACAATACCTAAGGTTGCTTCTATATAAATATGACTAATAATGGCTTAGTGGTTCTTGAGACGAAGATTTTAAAGATATTTCCTATGTAAAAGCATTTTATAGCAGAAAGGGGTTTATCAAGAGGAAGTTTTAAGAATGTAATTAACTAACCAGAAATTAATTAACAAATATTGCATTGAAGTCTAAGGGGACAAGCATTTCTCTTTTAAAAATAAATATTCAAATAAAAAGAATGTTAATAAATACTGTGGTGAGAGGATGCATACAACATTATAATAGAATTTTTTTACCAGGTAAGTTTTTTTTTTATAATTGAATTTTTCAAATAACAAGAGGCCCAAGGACGTTAGCGATCACCTGAGTACAATACAACAATTTAGAGGATCCATAAACTGATAAATGAAGGTTTGTTGCCCAAAAGCAAGAAAAATAGTATGATTAGCATCAACAAAATAATTGGTCTAGTATCTATCTGTCCCCAATTTATCACTATTACCATGCAGACTATTGACAAATGTCTATTTTTAAACCCCATATTATTACTTCTCACATTGGCCTCTCTTGGCCTTTGAAGAACATTTAAAAAGATTAGTTATTTTTGTCTCATTTTTATTCATTTATTATTTCCA